ATACAGATGTCATGTTATCTTGAGAAGACAAATATATTACGCACAGAATCAATCCTTTCAAGCTTTTGCCAATAATTTGAGGAACTTCAAAGAATATCGAAGATCCTTCACCTTTAAAATTCTGCCAATGAGGATAATTGTCTCCAGGAAGAGAATTAACTCCAAACCCTCTTTCATTGCATCCCTAAGTCATAAACATAGCAAAGAAGAACCCGATTAACCGTACATATATACCAGAATGTATTATGCACAGATGGGCGTTTAGGTACAGAAGATATTAGCACTCACTCTTGAACATGTACATTTTTAAACACCAAACAAAATGTGCTTGAATGCCGTCGTTGGAAGCAAATATTTCCAGACGAAGTCAGCTACATTACAAGCCAATATTCGAATGCGGAGTATAGTATGCTTTAAAACCTTAGAAGCAATCATAAGCTATTCAATTACATGCATCCCTAGATTATGTACATATCGAACATTTGACGCTATTTTAAACATAATTAACACTTTCAAGATGCCTTCTAAACACTTAACAGCATAATCAAGGGGGATTGTTACGTACTTAGATGTGCACATACATTATTATAAGCGTGTGTCTTCCAACATACATGCGCACAAATGAAATTAATAGAAACACGCATTGAACATTTAAGTTAAAGATGTATAAAAAGAAAAAGACGTTCTTCCACATAGCCCAAATAAATTATGCTTTAGTAGAGAGATAAAGAGAATAACCTGTGCAACACTTTTTAAAAGTGTGTCAATGACTCGGTTGAGCTCACCTACATGAATAGTGAGAGAACTCGTGAATGTTTCTGATCTTTTCTTGTAAACTTGCTCGTGAAAACCAATCAATGCCGGCGTCTTTTTATGTGAAGCTTGAGATGTTCTTGATATTGCTTTGAACAGTTTATGACTTTTGGCAAACAAAGGATGTGAAACAAACTTGATTAACGATGGCGTGATCCCAAAGGCTTGACAAAAGGACTTTGAATGATTTGTTGGGGGCATCCACGACAAAAAAGGAGATGGAAATACATCACGGGGCAATCCTTCATAACCACATAAAGAAACATATTTAATGTTCTTCAGTCTCATTATTGAGATAGGTACTTGTGTTATAGCAGTGTGACTGGCTCCCAAAATCATTAAGGATTCCATTTTCTCAATGTCTTCATCCAACCTTTCAATCTTGGAGCAACCAAAAAGATTGAGAGTTCTCAATGACTTCAAGTCATATATACCTTTTGGGAGCTGCTCCAAGCCAATGCAATTTTTCAAATTTAACATAATAAGATATCTAAGATTCCCAATGGAAGGGTGAATCATACACAAACGTGGACAATCTTTAAGTATCAGCTTCTCAAGATACGGTAGTTTTGAGAAGTTAGGTGTTTCTGTTAGGCAATGAGAATGACCCAAATTGAGAACTTTCAACCATTCCAGCACCTATGCAAAGAGATCATCCCAAAGTAAAAACCATGCGTATAATAAATAAACTAACAGAATAGATGGAAAAATAGCACAAATCCTCTTTACTAGTGTTTGATTCCAAAAGTTCATTGCAAATACCTGGTTTTTCAGCCATACTTTTGTGAGATTACTCCACTTTAAGTCAATGGCAACTGTCTTTTCTAGATTGAAGTCCGTTGGCAAGTTTTCTAAGAGAGAGTTATGCCAACAAAGCCATCTCAATTCTTTTGATAGACAACCATAGTCTCCGTTAAGCTGTACATGATCAAAGTTGAGTAGAAGAATCCTCTTCATATTCTCAAATGCCTTGGTACTCAAGGATACTAAATTATTTCTTGGCATGTTTAAAGACAACCCCTTAATAGTCATTGTTCCCTATGAAATAGGTAAAGAGGAGAAAACAAAAACAATATAACCCACAATCAGCAACCGGATAGCATAATGAATGATGAAAAAACAAGTATGAAGATTATTTAAATGCGAAATTAGTAAATTGTGCAATAAAGTTGTTAAGAAACATTCTTACAATGTTATTTTCTAACACATTCAACACATCATCCTTAGACCACAATCTTGTACGCTTCTCTAGCTTCCTTGGCGATTGCTCACGAACTATTTCTCTTCCCATATCACGTATTAAGTCATGCATATCAAATATATTTTTATTTCCAAACTTTACAACTTTTACAAGGCTTCGCTCGATTAGGTGGGTAATTCCAACTTTTGCATGAAGTCCACAACCATCTAATACTTGAGTAGCATAGCTTCTATCCTTCCCAATGAAGAAACAACATATGTCCAAGAATAGCTCTTGCTCTATTTGGTCACTCAAACCATCATAACTTATTTTTAGAATTTCATGTATTTTACCATTTGGAATTTGTTCCAATTTATTCAAAGCGCTTTCCCAATAAGGTATTTCCCTATCAAACAAATATGAGCCAAGGATCTCAAGAGCTAGTGGTAGGCCTCCTGAGTATGATACTACCCTTCTTGAAAGTTCATTAAAATTTCTTTCAGGAAGTGCTTGCTTAAAAGCATGCCAACTGAAAAGTTCAATAGATTCATTATCATCCATTCCCCTCACATTGAATACTTTATTCACTTGAAGGATTTGAAGCAGACGTTCATCTCTAGTAGTGACAATTATTCTACTGCCTTGTCCAAACCATTCACGTCTCTCACATAAAACTTTGAGCTGGTCTTCATGATCCACATTATCTAATACAATGAATACTCTTTTTTGACAAAGAATTTCCTTGATTAGAGATTTTCCCAATCCTACATTTGGTATATTGATTCTTCTTGTTTTCAAGATGCTAGAAAGAAGTTGCTCTTGCAAATAGACTTGACCATTATCATGCTTCCATACTTCCCTAATATTTGCAAGGAAACTCTTTCCCACAAAACTTTGGCCCATTTCATTGTAAATAGCTTTAGCCATCGTCGTCTTACCCACCCCACCCATCCCCCAAATTCCAATTATGATAATCTCATTTGATTCACAACTTAGCAATTGGATGATATCTTGCACTCGAGAATCCAAACCCACTGGATGGTGAGCAACAAACATGTATTTGCTGTTGTCTAGCCTCATTGTGACAGTTTTAACAATATCATCAAGTAACTCAGCCTCAGTTCTGGCAACAACAACGAATTAGATGACTAGAATTGTACCCCGATGCATTAACATGCACAGGACAAAACTATAACAGCAACAAAGTGATAGATATTTGGAGTTAGCCGAAACAAGAAATATGAATAAAAGGTTGGAAAAGGACCATTCTTTCCCTGCATTGTCAATATACTATTATGACCTACCTGTAGAAAACTTGAGCACATAAGATTCATATAGTACATTATGCTTCTCTATGAACCATAGATCCCGATGTGATATGGAAATTAACTTCACTTTTCTGTCTTTCTATACATAATTTTGTAATTTTCATCGTAAATAATTTACAGACACAATCTTATGAGAAAGTCAACAATTGAGTAACATTAAATACTTTTTATTAATTCAACAAAATTTTTTATTCATTTCTAAACGATGCTATCAATACCTATTGATTATATACATACATGATGAATAATAGTAACTGAGCTGCGACTTTCTCTATCGCTAGAACAAAGGAAAAAGATGATTTTTTTTAACCAAAAACCATTTGGCGAGCCAAAAAAAAAAAGCATTCAGCTAGCATTCACATATATCTTAGTTTACTTTTGGCTGTGATATGCTACCTTTGTTAAAAACAATTTCTTTTGTTACGCTAGGAGGCTTTGAGTGATCCTCAATCTTTACTTAATACATTAGCCTGTTTTTATTATCCTAACTAGCCTCATTTAGCTGTAAATTAAATACATTTTCTTCTGTAAACTATGAAGCTTTAAGTCATGAACCTGTACTCACACCTTGCATCATTCTTATTGCTTAAACTAGTCTTTTTCGGTGGATTTGTTAAATAAATTTTTTATTCCTCTATATGTTTCTCAACAATTCATTTTAGTAATCTCATGCTACATATGTTAGTATACTCAGATATTTTGTTAATGAAACATATTAGGATAACCTTTTACTTTCATATCCTCGTCAGTGCAATTGTGCAAGCTAGTTTTCTCTAGATTTATTTAATGTTCCTTTGGTCTTTAATTAGAGGTAGGCGTGCATGTAAAAGTAGATTAATCATGGATCTACCTATGCTACAAACAAAATTAAGGAATTCAACACATAGAAAAACAAACTGAAAAAAAAAACAATTTCAAATAATAAGTAAAAGAAAAGGAAACAATATGTACCTGTATTTTTGCATATCCCACCCTGATAAGTTAGCAGCCTCATTAAGGACTCTCTTCAAATTGATTGCCAATTTCCTACCTTTTCTGATCGGGAATGTCGTTATAAGCCTTTCCCATGCTTTTCCAAAGGCATTCTGCTGTTTACGAACTTCAGATGGTTGCACATCATAGAATAGAGGAAAAACCTCTTGTTGAGTTGTTTTGTAGCACTCCATGATTTTCTCTAATTCTTGCAAGCACCAACTAGAGCCAGCATAATTTTGTGAGAATATAATGATTGAAATTCTAGAATGTTCAATTGCTTGTAGTAATGAACTTGGAATATGTTCTCCCTTTGCAATCCTTTCATCATCCATGAAGACCTCAATTCCTGCTTGCTTTAGAGCATTATAAAGATGAGTAGTAAATGATTTACGCGTATCTTCACCTCTAAAACTTAAGAATACATCATAGGTATATTTGAACTTTGGCCTTTTTGTAGCCATTCCCCTCCCTATCTCTTGTAGCAAATCATGCACATGAATCTTGTCATTGACAACCTGTACAAGGTTGCGCTCCATAAGTACTTGCATTCCCATTTCTATGGGGAATCTCGAGCCCTTAAACAAATCAGTAACATAACTCATACTCTGGCCCACATGAAAGCATGCTATATCACAAAATAATTTATTCTCTGATTCAGCCAAAAAGTCTAGGCTTATTTTAAGCTTCTGTTGTATTTCACCACTCGAAACATTTTTTAATTTATTCAATACTTTTTTCCACTCCGATTTTGTCTTATTACGCAAAAGAGAGCCTACAACTTCAAGAATCAATGGTAGCCCTTCACATAAAGTAATTACTTTCCTAGAAAGATTCACAAAACCATTTGTTGGATCAATGTTTTCAAATGCATGCCAACCAAAAAGCTGAAGAGACTCACTGTCATCCAACTTTTCCACTTTGCATGATTTGTCAACAAAGTGATCAAGTAAATCCTTATTTCTTGTTGTGACAAAAATCAAGCTCCCTTTACCAAACTGCTCTCCATTTCCACACAGTTCAGTGAGTTGGCCTACTTGATTTACATCATCAAGTACTATTAGGGCCCCTCTATAAGGTCCTTGCCTCATATGATTCACATGAATATCTGAAAGAAGTTGCTCTTGTAGAAGAACTTGACCATTATTTTTCTCCCATGCATCCTTGATATTAGCAAGGAAACTTTTGCAATTGAAATGGATACCAATTGTATCATAAATAGCTCTGGCAATGGTAGTTTTGCCGACACCTCCAACCCCCCAAATTCCGACTATGATTGTATTTTCTACATGATGGGATTTCCAGCCTAATCGGTCAAGCACTTGTCTCACACGAGGTAGCAACCCTACTTGTGATATGGCTTTTGCAATAAGGTTATTGACCAATTCTTGGTCCCTGGTCGCAAATTAGAATTATAATTAGATGAAAATCGACGGAAGTACGTGTTACTAAAAAGATATATTATAGATTCACATATGTATAACAAATGCCATATATACTTGCTCATATTTTTTGCTACAATCCATAAAATGATTGTTTCCAAATCAATTGCAAAATTTGCTACTAAAATAGTTGGGATGGATTTTTCCTTGATTGGCAACGGAATTCTCTATCACTGATGTGCTTATTTTAATTAATTTTGGTGAATAATCTGCTAACTGTTAACCTGAAAACCAGCATGCACCGTTATGTTAAGAAATTTGGGGCAAAATCATCAATTGGGAAGTTCAAGGAGCTATTGGCCTGGTATGGTGTGTGGGTGTGGGGGACAATGTTACGCGACATTTGGTACACATAATGATGAATTTTAAGAGACTAAAAACAGAAATGGGAATGAGCACTGGAACGGGCGCAGGAATGGGAATGAAGATGAAAATGGGGTTTTAAAAAATGTTTGGTATAATATCCTTGCCCAAAAAGATTTTCCTTGGACTAGACCAGCATCCTCAGTCATGTGCCAATTGACCTTCCTCCTCAGCCCCATCCTCTCTCATCGCACGCTGTTGCTACTCCATCGACGCCATTGAAGCGCAAACCAAATCATGCACCCCCAAATGGAGATGGAAGAGATGGAGGAGAAAGGGAAAAAGGAAGATAAAGGAGGGAGAGACACCTCCTTTAATTAAGACTAAGATAATGACACTTTCGCTATGCGCCTAATCAGACATGACAAAGCATTGTGCGACCATTATTTACCCTTTAATCAAGACTAAGATGTTTTTATGCCTTATAAATTATCACATGGCAAGTTAGGATTGGCCAGCCCACACCATCTAAGCCGCGAGTTGTGGTGGGCTGGCCTATATTCTCGGTCCTAATGCATGGATCTAAGGATCTTTTGGTTTGAGGGGAGGGGAGGTTTCATTCTCACCTTGTTTGTTTTGATTAAAAAGAAAGGGAGGGAGAGATATTTAATGATCCCTTATTTGGTTCAAGAAGGAGAGGGGAGGGATGGTAATAATTAATTTACCATTTTACCTTTACATATTAGTTTATATTTTTTTATTGACATATTATATAAATTAATTTACATTTTAATTTAAATAATATAATTTAATAAAAATTCAGTCTTATGATATTAATATGTGCATTAAAAAATTGGTACAGTATTTTTTAATTCTAATTACTATAATAATATATTTGAAATAATCAAATTAACAAATTTTATATGCTCTAAAAAAATTGAAATTTTATTCTCTTTAAGCTTTGCCTTTTTTCAGCTTTAAAATATATTTAATAAATAATATATTTATAAAAAAATTAATTTTATAATATTATTTTTTTTATTTAAATAATGTTTTTTATTTTTATAATAATTTATATTAATTTTTATTATAATATATTTTTAATTATAGTTTTTTTATTTTTTATTTTTTACTTAGGATATATATTTTTTATTTAAATAAATATTATAATAACATAAAATGAGTGATTGTGGAATATCAAAAAAGTCATAAGAGTATAATGGTCCAAAAATTTAACTCCTCTTTAAAAACCCCCAATTTGGAGGAGAGCTAAAATGGGGAGGGGGAGGGGAGGGGAGGGAACATTTTGGCTTCGCTCCCTTCCAAAATTTTTAACCAAATGAGGGGAGGGGCTCATTTTCCCTCCCCTTCCCTCCCCCCAAACCAAACACACCCTAAAGGTAAAGGAGGGTATAAGTTAGAAAAAGAAGATAAAAAGTATAAAAGGATCAAATTGGAACTATTGAAAGTTTCAGGTCGTTAGGTATAGTTATATAAAGTTCACCCAAAAAGATTCAGAAAAATTACAAAAATGTAGTAAAAATAAAGCAAAAATCGTTTCCAATAGATTTTTTAGGTGCGCTTGAGGTGTTAAAGGTATAACTTTCCTCAATGCTTCTCATAATTCTGAAGACCATTCTCCAAATAAATTTTCAATCAATTTTCTCTATTTTAATTTGTTTTATTTATTTACCCTTTTGTTTAGCCATGAGATCATTAGCCACAATAAGATGGACCTGGCTTTCCTCCTTTTCTTTTACGGTCCGCTCCCGTCCTCTACCCCCAAAACTACACCATTTTGGGGTGAAAATTGGGATGGAGACACTCTTTGAAAAAAAAACAAAAAAGCAACTAATAGTCTAAAATACTTTTTTCAATGAAACTGTTAAAATAACTTTTTATTGCAGTTTTACTTTTAATATATTCTTTTTAGGTAGCAACAAGTATCATAAACTATTTAAGATATCCAGTGCTGTTAAAAAGTATTTTAAGTGTTAAATGTATTAAAAATCGTATGTAACTAAAAATATATTTTACAGTGTCAACTGCTAAATATTGAATGTTACTCAAAAAATATTTTAACAAGACGTTAGATAGTATTGGAAAAATATTTCAAAGAGTTCTGGGTGTACTAAAAATTATTTTAATATGTTAGGTATCACTGGAGAAGAAAAAATTAAGGCTGCTAGATAATCTTTACCAAAAAAAAAGAGTGTTCACCATCAGGACGGCAGCGGACCTTAAAAGAAAAGGAGGAAATCAGGTCCCAGTAAGATCACTTGATCAAGGACTATACGATCTATTTTGTTAGTGGAGAGAGAAAAGAGTAGGCCAATGAATGATGAACTGCCAGCATTTGAGTATCTCAAATCATAACGCAGTTCACCGACGACGAATAAACCCATCATATCTGGCTTACTAATTAATTTATTATAGATATATAGCTTATTACACAATTCATTAGAGATATATAGATGTTAGAACTTTTCGACTATTTTTTTTCCTTGAAGCACAATGAGTTTGATGAATTCCGCAGGCAGGTAAAAATGATAAACTAAAAGAGCCAAAAAGGATTAGTTGTTACCCAAAATCATCCGTCAGTGAGAAGCCATGTAGCGAATCACACACAGCGTCGGCTCTTGGTTGGAAGTCCCAATCGAAGATATAATCATCATTAGACCTTGGCAAATGCAAAATCTCCAACAGCACACTCAATTCATTCTCAAATCTTCGCATATGCAAATTCAGTTCGTAGTAACTCACTTCGTTCTCATATCTTCGCAAATGGAAGCTCTCGAACTGCACACGCGCTTCATTCTTGCTCATTCCATTGAAGAAAGGCAACACTGTTTTGGGACCAGACATTAAATTCAGAAGTATCTCAAGACATTTGCCGGACCAAACAAAGTCTGGTGTGATTACCACCACCACAATTCTACACCTTTCCATCATCTCCCATGTGGAATAATCCCTGACCATGTCATGAATGAAAGTTTTGAATCCAGCGTTCCTTAAACAATCCTCAAGAAAGGTTCTTACCCCATCTGCAAGACCATTGAAAGTTAAGAAGACATCGTATTCGAAGGTCAATTTGGGTTCAGAGGATGAAGAGGCCAAGGAAGACATGGATTATTGATTGCCAGCCGGAGGGGAAGATATGAAGATTTGGGTGAGTGATCGATTCTTCATATCACTTCTCTTTTATAGTGGTAGGTGCAACCACCTTTCTTTGGTTCCTAATACGAGTGATCTTTTCATTTCAGCGTAATTTTATTTATTTACCTTATTTGTATTTTTAATTTTATTTAAGGGATGTTCAGTTTTCTACCACTCAATCTACCTAACTGCATAAGTAAGTTACAACTGGATATTTAATTTGTTCATTTGTATTTTTAATTTCTTTAGGTAATTATATTATTGTGTATTTTGGATATGCGTCGTTTTGTGTGGACTATTAATTTGCAGTTGCATGGGCAATTTCCTCGAAAGTCACTAAAGTCACTTATTGACCAGATTTAGGGAGGACCCAACTACTAGTGTAGACTTTTCAAGATGGAAGTGAAACAGCGTCCACAATGGACCCAAAGAAACAATTAAAGAGAAAAAAAAAAACAATTAAAGAGAAAAATCCATTGTCCACTTGTATGTGCTGTTCTCTTTTTTTCTTGTTACATTTTTTTTTTGGTTACAAAGGGACGGGATCAACCTGTAACGCACACAGCCCACACACACCACTCGGCCAACGGCCAGTGGTTGTATGTGCTATTCTCTCTTTTTTGGTTTGATGGAGACATCAATCAAGTCGATACCGAATGGCGCAGCTAGTCAATTTTTTCTTCTCGTTTTTACTGTCCTTTATGATGGAGAGAAGAAAACTTTAATGAGTTCTATTTAAAAAATTAAAAAATAGATTTTAAAATTTTAATAAATAAAATATGCAAGATAAAATAATAAAAAAATTAATTAAAAGTTTTTAATTTTATTTTTCTAATTTTTTAAATCAAGCTTATTAAAAAATTTTCTCCCTTTCCCTCCTTCCATTTCCCTTAAAAAGTAAAGACAAAACCATTGCCTAATTAATATCTCTTAATTTCCACGCGGAATCTTCGCCGCTCCTATTTCTTCACCCTTGATTATTCAAAAAAAATATTATAAAATATTTTTTTTAATTATGATTTATAAAATCTAATTATTCAATATGTATAATCAAATCCAATGATATGAAGAAAATACAATTATTTTATATCTCTAGTTATTAATCAATTATTACCCTTCAACATTAGTTTGATTATTGATCATAAATGGAAATATGCGGATATTTCTTTTTTTTTTTATTGTTCCTATATTGATTTTATTTTTTGAATATATTATATAGATAGATACAATTATTTTACTTTTATTTTAGTTTTTATAAGAAAGTTGTTAATATTCTTCTCTTATTTATTTGACTATTTTTAAGTTACAAAAAGAATTGGTTTCAATGAAGTATAAATAGTGTCCTGGGAATTTGTCTTTTTATTTAATGAGTGTTGGCTAAGTTATTGTAGCACTAGCCCGCACTATTATATACTATTTAAATTATTATAATATTATAATTTAAATAATAATGTTATAAAAATTTACAATAAGGATGGAGTCGTGACAGAAAAAAATTTTAAGAAATTAACATGGAGATTTCCTTCACAGGCAATTTGGGAATCAAAATTTTCTATAGTCATAGCCTTGCCCTTGTATATCAAAATGTTTCATCATGTTAAATGACAAATAATGGGATTAGTGGAAAAATGAGTTACAAGGGCAATGAAGTGGCGGAATTTGTTTTATTGCAAAGTGGGTTTTTTTTGGATAGGTTCATTTGAAGCTTGTGTGAATGTATCAAAATGCTTCTTAAACTTTATCTTTTTATTCCCTTCTCTGTGAAGGAATCTGGAAAATTTGGTTGTCAACGCAATTTTCTCAATCACAAGAGCACCTTCGGCGAAGGTCCCAAAGCGCGTTTTCTGATGCGGACTTTGACAAACATAGGCGTGCGCCGCTGTTAATAGAACTTTTCGGGGGTGGGAGGCTCATCAGGGTCAGATTACTTTCAGAAGGTTATAAAAGTACCTACAGACTTACAAATTACACATGGATTAAAAAGGAGTTTGGTCCTTATATGGGAGTCACTTATAGGATTATTAATGCCCTTTCAATTGGAAAAACATGTACAGTTCTTTAGACGCGATCAATAGGCGTTTTTGTAATACAAGGACTTGCTTGTTGATAATGTTTTTGCCCTTCTCCGTTCATCTCCATTTATATATACTTTCTTCTCCTTCATATCGTGAGAAGTCAATTTCTCCAGAAAGAAAAAGATTTGTCATAAGTGACATAGCAAAACAATTGAACCATAGTAAGAAGTAACGGAACAGCCAAGTAGTTGCCCAATATAATTTATCAATCTTTTGGTAGCCCAACTGGCTACTGATGGCATTGACGGAATGTTGGCTCACATTTTGTACAAAAAATAAATTCTTCTTTTGGTGCTGCTGACTTTGTGTCTTGAGTGTTCACAAAAATCCTTGAGGATTTTGTGCATCAGATTTACTTATGTGGGTGTTGTTAAAAAAAAAAAAAAATTGTCTGTCCCAGGATTGAAACTTGGCTTTTAATAGTTCGAGATTAAATAAAATAACTCTATTAGTATATAAGGAATAGTCGTTACATATAGAGGTAACATTAGGCCTCCGGGGATTAACAGAGGAGTTTGGAGAAGAAATATTATTGCTCGAATTGTCCGTTGGAGATCTTGTTGTGAACAAATTATGGGAAGCGTTGGCAGGATTAAGATCTCTATGTTGCTCTTCACGTACATCAACAATCTCCAACAACTCCTTCAATTTATAAGATCCTGTACATGCAAATGCTTCCAAGAATAACCAAACAGAGGTACAGAACAGTGACGAGATCAATATACTTCTAAACTGGTAAAACCTTAATTAATTTGAACTTGGTATGAAATTGACACAAAATAATAACATCATCACTATTATCATGGGTCATAAAAATGGTAAGACAAATTACTTGCTGAAGAATGTAACAAGTCTGACATATATGAAAGACAAAGAACACAGCCTACCTTAAATTCGCAGGAGCTATAAAAGCCTGTCACCATTTCTTGTCAAATGTAGATAAACTTGTAAAAACTTTACCTTCAATTCAGTTGAAGCGGTTAGAGCATTTGAATGCAAAATGGTTTGGATGGGGTGAGTGATCATGATCAGAGTTTCCGTACAGATCAGGAGGAGTATGTGGCTGAAGAGACATGGTGGAGCAAATATCTGAAAGGATCAGATCTGATGAGACTTGAGGGTAATTTGTGTCTCCATTGGAGGCTTTTGACTCTTCTCCTTTTGCAGGCCTTTTAGTCAAAGTCCTTTGCTTTATCTGAAAATAGGTGTGTTTTGCAGTACTGATATGCACTGATGTTATCTGGATCCTCTGAAGTAAAAGTAGAGTGGGAGATATGAAAATTGAGAGGAACCCAAACTGCGGCGTGCCTCTCATTTTCTCTCATCACTTTGAAACAAATTTGCTTCACAGAATCCTAGCTGTGGTATTGTTAAGTATCAGTATCTTAAATTATTAAACAAAATAATAATCGGTAAATGTATAGAAAGAAAAACTTAGAAGCTATATATGGCAAAATAGACAACAAAATTTTCCATCATGTGAATGCATATATGAATGATAATTGATAAACATGCAAATAGTTCATATACATATACATATATAGAGAGAGTTAGGGTGAATTTGTTGGTCCTTTTAATTTAGCCCCAAATTATTAAATTCAACAATTTTTAATTAGTTTGGCAAATCTTTATGTGAATTTAAGATAAGGGATGTACTACCTAATTATTATGCAAAGTCTGACCTAACTTAGCACCTAGCTATTTTTAGTTAGCTAGCTTCTAGAATTAATATTTTGTCAAACTAAAGGATTTATTCTTAAATACATGAGTTATTATTTCAGACGGACATATTTTGGATGAGGGGTTAAAGAAACAAATTAATGCACAATTCTATAATCCGTTGTATGCATCAAAAGCAGGAAAAGCATCACAAATTAATGAAACAGAGCAAAAGAAGACAAACTAAACCAAGTATGTATTTCCACATGAAGATTAAAAGCTTTGCTTTCGATCTTCAAATTAGAAAGATTTCAAGTGAACAATAATATCACGTACAAAAGAGACGAGAAACAGATGTAGCAGCATCCATCCTCATGCTTCTCTGAGGTGAGTCTCCGTGGCTCCAATGTCACTCGTTTGACCATATATATTATGCTTGAATAATCAAGCATATTATATACAAATTTGGGCTAGCTGGATATGTTTAAATCAACGCGGGATTAAATTTATAGGAACAGTCATTTCAACAGATCTATCAGTAGCCAACACAAGAAAAGCAAAATGTGGGTAGAAACCATACCAAGCGATGTTTTTGGAGGCTCCAGGAGAACTTGATGAGGATCAGACATTTTGATAAGTTCTTTCCAAACCTGAGGCATGTTCTGCTCAGAACCAGCATGACGAGAAGCCAATCGATTGATGGTTTGTTGAAGTAACTGAAACGAAGATGAAGTAGCTGTCGAAGAAAGCGCTAAATCTTGATCTACAGAAATTCCCAGGTGTTTCTGAATCAGTGTTTGTGTGTGTGAGACACTGAGTATTTGAGATCAAACTCGTGCCTTTTCTTCTCCCCGCATGACGCTGGGATGAAGCTCTCGATGAACTTGTGAGGATCCATGGAATCATCGTCACGAAAATGTTGGTGGTTTTGGTACTGAGCCATGAACGAAACTCAAAGGCTGATGAACAAGAAAGGTACAATCAAAGTCTATGGCACTTTTGTGCAGAGAAAGGGTTGGCTGGTAGGTTTGAATGTGGAAAGTACAATAATGAAGCAAAAATGGATATTGGAAAGAAGGCGATTCCGCAGGGGTGGGAGCGCGCATGTGAATCATTTTTTGTTTTTTGGTTAGTGTAATAATTAATTAAATAAATGAACTTAAAAGAGTTTTTACTGGAAGTGTAGTTCAATAATTGGAGTTGCAAGAGGATCCAGAAAGATCTAAATGGTTTTTATCCCTAAATTTGCGGAGTTTTGTCGTGTGGTACAGTTATTTCCCACTTAGATCCACACATGGAGACCGAAATGATGAGATCCTGGCATATTCTTTTTTTACCGTTATCGGTCCCACTCTCTGGCCTTCCTCTCTCATTTCTGTCTCATCATTTAATGATCAAAACCAAACACGCGCATGGAGATGTTGATTTATGATTGTGGCAGCCAACGTGCAGGGGGAAGACTTCACATAACCCCACTAAATAAAACCACCCCCCACCCCCAAAAAAAACAAAAACCGTTTTGCCGACACCCAGAAAGTAATATAATATTATTCTTAAACTTTAATGTAGAAGAGTTAGATAGTTAATTAAAAAAATATTAAGAAAATTAGTTAAATTAATTATTTACATTAAAATTTTTTTTTTGCTGATAATGATAATGAAGCAGTTGGATTGGGATAGAATTAGAAACTATAGTTAAAAAGAAGAAGAAAGTCTCTGTTATATATCTACTTGTAAAGCAAAAGAAATATCAGTATACTGGAATATTTAACGTATAATTTTTTTTCTTCACAATTATAGTTACTCCCAAGATATGATTACATGAATTCAAATTATGCAGTTTGAAGGAACGAAGTGGCTGTAAACAAATAATTGAGACCCACTTAATATTAAGCAGCATAAGTATCAAGTCATAAATTTTACAACACATTATTTGAGAATTGTTTGGTCTCAAGCAACGCCTTCAAGCCTCTTGTTTATTAATGTGATTTTCGTTCATTAACTATAATGCAACAAGCAGTTGTTACGCATAATCCAACCTCAAGTTTACTCGCGCATTGTCACTCTGTGCAGCTGAACTACTCTTGTACCAACTCATGGATTTTCCTCTGAATTCTGAAGCAAAAAAGAATTGGCTCAATAAGTAATAATAACACACATACACACACTAACTATTTTCAATTTTTCAAAATTGTGTTCTCCAACCACATAAGAATTTCAAAATATGTTTAAAGACTAAAAATTAAAATTTATATTAGCATTCATATATTTGGCCAAAAAAAAATATTAGCATTCATACATATATAGAGAGAGTTAATTTTAAAGTTAGTTTTAGCTCTAACTTATATTGTCAAGACTCTCCCCAATCAAAGTGTTGTCTGTAGAGATAGATAATGACGAGCTTCATGACAAGTGAAACTCATTTGATTAGAATCCTATGAAGGATTTTATGATAAAGTTAGAATGAGACAAGAGAGGTTGAATCTATGATATCTATATGCAGAAATGGGACCTATAAAGTTATTTCTATACATCATCTAATTTTATCTTTTTAACTAGTATTTCAAAGGACCTAGATTCAAGGTTAAATATAGCGTGCTTGCCCCCTTCCCCACAATAACCTTTGTCGAATGATATGTGAATTATAATTTATCATAAACTCTAACTATAATATAATGATTACATGCAAAAGCACTATTTATTTATTATATTAAATTTATTAATACAATCACACTCCCTCCATTCGGTCATTATAATTATTATAAGGACTTCTAGCTTTGTTTTCATAATATTACATGTCCTATCTAAAGTATTAATTTTTTTCACCTAGTACCTCTAAAACTTCTTAACTATGTATATAACTAACCAAACTCTTCTAACTAATGATCTTTAATGAAGGTAGTTTTGATATTTTTTAAGAAATAACTAATTTTAACTAACTTTATTTGTTAACTTATGTAAAGTTATTATTAGGCACTACCTTCGATCCTTAATATAAAAACTAGTTGACTAATTTGAGTAAATTATAGAGATTAGTTAAGTAAGTTATTTGTTATAAATACGTATTGTCTTCCCTAAAAGATTCATACTAACATGTATATTAGTTAGAAATACTATTTGATAAAACATTTAAAATGTACAATGATTATAAGGACTACATTGTGCAAAATGAATAAATATAAGAGATAAAATGGATCAAAATCTTATATTTAGGAGCAATTGAATGTCAAACTAAGTCTTATATTAAAAACCAGGGGTAGTACTTGTAAGTTAACTACATGATAAATCAAATTAATTTTAACACTAATTAAATGCAAAAAGAAAAAGGTATTAGTTACCTCCAACTTCCAAGTAAGTGCGAGCGTTCTTCTTCGGTATTTCATTGTTCCTTTCGTCAGATTCCCTTTCTTTGTTGTGAGCACGACCAGACTGCTTCCCACTTCTCATCTTCATTCCATAAGCATTCTGAAATTGGATTTGAAAAAAAATAATTTGTCTAATATATTTATCACAAAAATGAACTCATATATAATTTATTCTCGAAATGGAGAGAGCTTTTGTACATTTTCGTACTCCTTCTTTCAGGCCCTGGCCTTAGTGATTCATCCACCGGAGATTTTAGCTCTGATACTAAATACTGTATCAACAAATATATCATCCTCAAAATTATTGGATATATTCAGAGAAGAGAAATTTGTTTAAAATCATATTTATACATAAGCAACATAAATTGAATGTGTACGTACCTTGTAAACAAAGTCAGGTGAGACCTTGTGAATCATGAGACTATGGATGTTCACATGAATCATGTGTAGACTATTGAAAATAAATCATCAATATTGTTATAAGTCGCTACGTTTGGTGTGTAAGCTCATATGACCTTTGTCTGGATATATGTGTGTATATATTTAGGCAATAGAAGGTTTTTATCATAAAACAATTATTCTTTTCGTGTGTGCGCTCTCATATATATAAAGAGCAATTATCTTTTTTCTGGCTTTACTTACAGGATTCTTGTGTGTTTGATGTGCGTCTTAGAATCATTTGTTCTATTATTAGATGCATTCCTAAAATTCTCCCTGACAACTTTTCCCTTGGTCATCTTTTGTCAATTTTGATTCCTTCTCATAGTTTCATCTAAATCCAGCAACTCTAGCCAACACCAGTAAATTTCATTTTATCTAAAATCAATTAAATCTATACGTAAGAGGAAGAAGTGGACGATAGCTAGATGACTCCTTGAGGACTGAATCAGAATCTGACACGGAAATTAATTAATTACATGTTACTGGAGCAAATTCCTGCCACTATCTCTTAAGAACTTGTTAAAGAAATTAACAGTTTAATAGCTAATTGATCCATGTCTGCCCAAGTCCCACTATCTCTTAGCCACGACGTCCAATACAAGATTATTAGCATTAGAGGAAAATCAAGCACTCTTCACAAAAACCATACTAAGACAAGAACCCAGAAAAACAAATGCACAAGGGCAACCACAATGGTTACTTATACATGCAAAGTTACACGTGTGAGTTCAAATATGGGTTCCACTCACTTAATCAAACTTGCAACGGCAAACATCAACATCCAAACAAGGAAGGCAGAGACAGTGAAGCACCAGGAGATCGTTGAAGGCAAAAGCATGCCCATTATTCCCATCAATCCAAACGTCCCAATCACAAACGCAGCTCTTTGCATCTTCTTGGCAATCAAGGGCCTTTTCTCGTGCAACACAAGAGCAGTTGAAGAAATAGAGAAGGCAAGTGCAGAACAAGCCACCACAACATAAATCAGAACCTGGTCTTGTTTTGCTTTTGAGGAAACAGCCACATTGGTCAGAGCACCTAGAAGTTCAACAGCAAAAACTGTGAAGCCTAGTTCGTTATTATTATCTTCACGTTGTTGTGATGCAAAAGAGGTCGCAACGATGTTACTATTCGTACGATTATTAACAGGGGGGTTTGCAGAAGTGACATTGCTAGAACTGTCTGTGAGCGATCCTGTCGGGGGCAAATCATGGGAAGGATTGGAATTGATTATGGCAGGACTAAGATCTTGAGCTCTCTCTTCACGTACACCAAGATTCTGCGAATCGTTCAAGTCAGATCCTGTACATGCAAATGCTTCCAAGAATAACTAAACAGAAGTACAGAATAGTGATGAGATCAATATACTTCTAAACTGATAAAACCTTAATTAATTTGAACTTGCTATAGAAATTGGCACAAAATAATAACATCACTGTTATCATGGTGCATAAAAATGGCATGGCAAATTACTTGGTGCAGACAGAGATATGAAAGATGAAAAAGACAGCCTACCTTAAATTTGCAGGAGCTAAGAAAAGCCTGTCACCATTTCTTATTATAGATAAACTTGTAAAAACCTTACCTTGGATTCAGTTGAAGCAGTTAGTGCATATGAATGCAAAATTGTTTGGGTCGGTGGGGGCTTTTTTGACTCTTCTTCTTTTGCAGGCCTTTTAGTCAAAGTCCTTTGCTCTGTTCAAGAATACGTGTGTTTTGCGGAACCGAAAATAGAGAGGACGGAATCCAAACTGTAGCATGCCTCTCTTTTTCTCTCATCACTTTAAAACAAATATACTTCAAAGAACCCTAGCTGTGGCATTGTTAAGTATCAGTATCTAAAATTATCAAATAAAATAATAATTGGTAAATGTATGGAAAGACAAACCTAGTGCATAGCTATGGTAAAATAGAAACAAAATTTTCCACCATGTGAATGCATAAACGAATGATAATTAGCCAACATGCAAGAAGAGCATATATATGTACACACACACACACACACATATATATATAGTAAGGGGAAATTTGTAGTTTTTTTTTTTTTTAAGTCTTGACCTTATTTATTAGCACCTAATAGTTAGCCCCAAATGACTAAATTCGACAAATTTTCATTATTTTGGCAAATCATAATCTGAATTTAAGGTAAGGGATTGAACTACCTAATTATCACGCATAATTTGAAGTCTAATTTAATTTAGCCCATAGCTATTTTTAGCTAGCTTCCAGAATATTTTGTTAAAACAAAAGATTTATTCTTAAACAAATTAGAACACACTTCTATAATCCATTGTATGCATCAAAATCAGTAAAAGCATCACATATATATTATAGCCAAAGTAGGAAAACATAGCAAAAGAAGACAAACTAAAGAGAATATATTAGTATACCTCTTTTACGATAAAGATCAATGGCTTTACTTTAGATCTTCAAATTAGAAAGATTTCAAGTGAAGAATGCATTGACATTAGCTAGTCTCAAAACTGACATGAGAAATATATAGTGTAGCAGCATCGATCCTCATGCTTCTCTGAGGCGAGTCTCTATGTCTCCAATAATAATATCGCTCGTTTGATGAATAATCATGCATAATGTTGACAGATTGGGCTCGCTGGTTATGTTTAAATCAACCCAAGATTAGATTTTGTTCATGCGAAGAACCATATCAGCAGATCTATCGGTGGATAACACAAGAAAAGTAAAATGTGGATAGAAACCATACCAGATGATGCTTTAATTTTGCAGGCTCCTGGAGAACTTGAGGATCAGAAATATCTATTCTGATATGATCCATGGAATCAGCATGAGGAAGATGGTGCTGGTTGTTTTGGTCAGCCATGGACGAAGCTCAAAAGCTGATGAACAAGAACGGTAGAATCAAACGGAGATACAGAGAAGAGAGAGCTTGCAAATGAGTTCTTACCAGTACAAGGCAAATGCTATTTGTACTGAGGAAGGCTTGACTGGTAGGTTTTAGTGTGGAAGTATATTCCAAGAATATACTCCTTCGGTCCTTAATATAAAACTCACTTAATTAATTTGATTAGATTAAAAAAGTTAGGTAAGTTAGTTAATTATAAGAAATGTGACATGTTTTTCATAAAATACCATAATTATCTTTCTTAATACCCCATCTTCCTCTTCTACTTGATTATGGTTAAAGGAGTATTCATAGGGGTAATTTAGAAAAAACTGATAAATATGATAAATTGGTCTTATATTTAAGATCAAAACTAACTCAACAATTGGGTCCTATATTAAGGACCGGAGGAGTAATATAATAAAGCAATACAAATGGATTGGAAAGAAGACGATCCCCCATGATTATTATTATTTTTTGTTAGTCCTATAGTTAATTTAATAAACGCACTTAAAAGAGTTTTTACTGCAAGTGGGAGTTCAAAAATTGGAGTTGCATTCAGGATGTAGAAAGATCTGACGGTTTTTATCCCAAAATTTGCGGGATTTTTTGTCGGGGTGCAATTATTTCCCACTTGGATCCAAACCTGGAGGCCGAAATGAGATCCTGGTTTATTCGTTTTTGAACGCATGGCGGGAGACGTTGGGTTATGATTGCGATTTGCGACAGCCAAATGACGCACCTCCGTTATAGACCACGGGGCCACTTGCCCCCCATTATAATGGAGAAATCTTCACATGACTCTACTAAATCAATCCCCCCCACCCTCCCAAAAAGAAAACAATATTCTCCTTGCCGACACCCCAAATAATGACAATACTACCGTTGCTTCTTATGTTTAGAATATCAAGGAAATTGGTTGAATGGATTATTTTAACAAACGTATCTTGCTTTCTTTAAATTATCTTATTTAATGGTGTGTATTAGAATTATTCTTTAGTGAAAATTTTTTATAATCAATGAGAATATTTTGAAGAAAAAAATTATAACTTTGGGATATGGTAAATTGAGAACTTATATTTAGAACTAAATTTAATCATCAACTAATTCTTATATTAAAAATTGTAAGTAGTAATAGTAATAGACCAACAGGAGTTAGATCTAGTGAAAGTGGCTAGCTCTTCACGATGGGGCGAACTAATGAGAGATACCCATGTTTAGTACCTAACAGTAAGTCTGATAAAATTACCTCTAATAAAAAGATACTTATACATTAAAAAAAAAAGTAGTAGTAGTAGTAATGGTCGGCATGATTTCGGCCTGCTAATTTTGATTTTTCTGGGTTCATCACTCCTCATCTAACTTGATTTTTAAATTGTCTATTTGTCTTCAACCAAATTTAAATGGACCCTTTGATCCATTCCCAGGTGTTTCTGAATCAGTGTTTGTGTGTGTGAGACACTGAGTATTTGAGATCAAACTCGTGCCTTTTCTTCTCCCCGCATGACGCTGGGATGAAGCTCTCGATGAACTTGTGAGGATCCATGGAATCATCGTCACGAAAATGTTGGTGGTTTTGGTACTGAGCCATGAACGAAACTCAAAGGCTGATGAACAAGAAAGGTAGAATCAAAGTCTATGGCGCTTTTGTACAGAGAAAGGGTTGGCTGGTAGGTTTGAATGTGGAAAGTACAATAATGAAGCAAAAATGGATACTGGAAAGAAGGCGATTCCGCAGGGGTGGGAGCGCGCATGTGATTCATTTTTTGTTTTGTTAGTGTAATAATTAATTAAATAAACGAACTTAAAAGAGTTTTTACTGGAAGTGTAGTTCAATAATTGGAGTTGCATGAGGGATCCAGAAAGATCTAAATGGTTTTTATCCCTAAATTTGCGGAGTTTTGTCGTGTGGTACAGTTATTTCCCACTTAGATCCACACATGGAGGCCGAAATGATGAGATCCTGGGGTATTCGTTTTTTGCCGTTATGGGTCCCACTCTCTGGCCTTCCTCTCTTATTTCTGTCTCATCATTTAATGATAAAAACCAAACACGCGCATGGAGATGTTGATTTATGATTGTGGCAGCCAACGTGCAGGGGGAAGACTTCGCGTAACCCCACTAAATAAAACCACCCCCCACCCCCAAAAAAAAAAAAAAAAACGTTTTGCCGACACCCAGAAAGTAATATAATATTACTCTTAAACTTTAATGTAGAAGAGTTAGATAGTTAATTAAAAAAATATTAAGAAAATTAGTTAAATTAATTATTTACATTAAAAATTTTTTTGCTGATACTGATAATGAAGCAGTTGGATTGGGATAGAATTAGAAACTATAGTTAAAAAGAAGAAGAAAGTCTCTGTTATATATCTACTTGTAAAGCAAAAGAAATATCAGTATACTGGAATATTTAACGTATAATTTTTTTTCTTCACAATTATAATTACTCCCAAGATATGATTACATGAATTCAAATTCTGCAGTTTGAAGGAACGAAGTGGCTGTAAACAAATAATTGAGACCCACTTAATATTAAGCAGCATAAGTATCAAGTCATAAATTTTACAACACATTATTTGAGAATTGTTTGGTCTCAAGCAACGCCTTCAAGCCTCTTGTTTATTAATGTGATTTTCGTTCATTAACTATAATGCAACAAGCAGTTGTTAAGCATAATCCAACCTCAAGTTTACTCGCGCATTGTCACTCTGTGCAGCTGAACTACTCTTGTACCAACTCATGGATTTTCCTATGAATTCTGAAGCAAAAAAGAATTGGCTCAATAAGTAATAACACACATATACACACTAACTATTTTCAATTTTTCAAAATTGTGTTCTCCAACCACATAAGAATTTCAAAATATGTTTAAAGATTAAAAATTAAAATTTATATTAGCATTCATATATTTGGCCAAAAAAAAATATTAGCATTCATATATATATATATATATAGAGAGAGAGAGAGAGAGAGAGAGTTAATTTTAAAGTTAGTTTTAGCTCTAACTTATATTGTCAAGACTCTCCCCAATCAAAGTGTTGTCTGTAGAGATAGATAA